TAGCTTAATTATTATTTCTCTTATCATGTTCATGTCTAATATTAATCCAAACACAATTAGACAAACTTTGACTATATATCCATTAGAAAGCAGTATGGGTCTAGGTCTATCAATAAAATTATTTCAATGATAATCTCATCTCCGTTGTCACTATTGGCAGGTCCTTCTATATGCTTGCATATATACCAAAAGCAAAGAAACATAAAAGCGTTTGTCTCCTATCATTTGAATGAATTTATGTAGATATATATGTACCAGATTGATGTGGCAAAATTATATGTGGAGACGAAGAGTAAAAGTTGATTCATTTTATCTATGTATATGAAGGGGCAGACCCTGCATGTGTTGTTTTGCTGTCAATGCACAGCATATATGTGTGCAAACTTATACTAGATTTCCTACATTTTCCCTACCTTAATCCACGTGTAGTTTAGATATTCCAATGATAGAGGTACTTTGTTTATTTTGTTTAAACGTCGGTATAGGATTTAGTTTTTTTTTAAGGCAAAAATCAAATTTATTAGGGTGGATGAGATACTCCAGTAGCAATCCATGGTTTAATCCACAAAGGACCTATAGCATGTCAATCTCTCCTGTTAATGCTATTCAGCAAACACTCTACTGGATTGCGCATCCAATCTGAGAAAGAGAAAGCATAGGATTTACATCCCTCCATCACTAAATACCTTTCTTTCTCAATTATTAGAAAAGTACGTAGAGGTTTAATCATTTTTTTTTTTTTGTTAACATGTTTCAATTTTGGCGAGTGGGGTTTGAGCACAGGTTGTGCACCCTACATAACCAGAGCAGGTTATCATTTTTGGGGAAGGGGGTTTGAACACATGTTCTAAGACCTGAAGTGTACCCTACCCTACATATGTATAAAACTATATATCTGGGTTGAGAGCCCGGATGTACAGTTTTTCATCATAATTTTGCATGGAAGATGTGACTGAGATTTGATCTTGTGGGGGGTGAATGATCATCGTGACAAAAGTAAGACCTTAAATGATCACAACGAATCTTCTGAATTCTGCCTCCTTTTTTAAAAATGGTTGTTGTCGTTCAATTGAAATGCGAACCGCCAACCACGTACACAATTATACATTTAACTCAATCAAAGCTCTGCAAGAAAAAGAACTTCTTCCTCAAAAAAGGAATGTTTATGTACTTATTTATAAGCTAGTGTTGTTTGTAAGCAATTTATTCTCTTTAAAATTTAACAAGTTAGTTGGAGTAAAATTTTAATTTTAGGTGTTAAAATGATTTATAGAGAAGTTTTAAAAATACAAGTAATATGTCCCATGTCTCATCATATAATCAACTGTCTTCTTTTTTTCTTTTTTTTTTCATTGAAAAATAACTTATACAATAGAAGATGATCTTTTTTATTTGTTTTAAAATTTAAATTTAAAATTTTTAACATTAAGATTTAAGTTTTTAACTATTAAATTATCTATACGTCTCATATATATTAATCAATTCTAGTTTATAGATTATATCTTTTCATATCTTCCCATCAAAATGTCATCTTAACTATTAAGAATTAATTGTAGGAATCAAAATAATAATTTTATAGTCAATATTTGTTGTTTAGAGGACAACTACCATAGCTAAATATATATACTCTCTTCTTGATGTGTAAATTAACAAAACACAATATTTGGATAGAAAATTTGGTTTAAATGGCTAAAATCACACATTGCCAAAGACATTAGTTGTGCATTCAAACTCCATTTATAGTCAAAGGCCCATGATGATACGGGTAAAACTTAAAATAAAAGGATCCCAAATCTACCTAACAAGTAAAAGGCAGAAAGCATTAAAAATCACACACAAAAGTTATTATTTTTAAACCATAAAGCAGTGTGTAATCTTGTTTTGTTGTGGTGTTATCATTCTTTAGGGTATCATGACTTTGGTGTTCAATGCAACACTAATTCTTGCCCCTATTCTTTTTATTTATGCCTTTAACCTTTTTCTCATCTAGTCACATGCCCTTCAAGAGGCTTCACCTTTATGTTTTAAAAGAAAAATCTTTTACATCTAAGAGGTAAATTGCCTTTTATTTTTCAATAAAATGAAAATGCAAAGTTTAAAATTGCACAATTAATAAGGTTTAAAATATGTTCGAGTTTAGCCTCTAGCTAGCATATGTAATTAAGTACTAGCATAGTCAATATATGCCTACTCAAAGCTAATGACTAATAACATTTCATTTCTCAGTGATTATTAAAACAACCTAATTTTTTGCTCACTTAATAATGTTTATAGTGAGGACATAAACACTTAATAAAACATAAAATTATAATATTTTTAAAGTATTTTATCTATATAATTTAAACCATGACAAATTATAAAATATAAATAATTAAATAAAAATAACCTTTAATATAACAAAATTTATTCCCATTTAATAGATTAAATTATACTCTCACTACAAAACACTTACTTTGATTTTTCATGTATAAAATCATCTGATTAATTAGTTATTAGTACTAGCAAGCAAAGTCGGTATGCAAAATTAATTGTTGGGTTTTTTTTTTTTCCAAAAAAATGGAGAGAGAATCCTATCCAGCGGCGGGTTTTTGTATTTTGTAGCAGTATTTTGCAGGGTGATTTTGTTTCCGCCATTTGCATTTGGGAGAAAGAACAGTGACAAAGGAAGGAAGCAGCAGCAGTGTAATAGTGAACAGTGATGCTTCTCGTGATTTGCATACCCAACTTTTTTTTTTTTTTTTTTTTTTTTTCATTCACTCAATTCACAATCTCCATTCACTTCTCCTCACCTCCCCTCTTCTTCTGCCCTAACCCTAGTAATATCTCTTCCTCCCTGTCTTCAGGAGCCCTAATTTTTTTGTGTTTCTTTCCTGCTGGTTTTTGCTCAGGTCTTGTTTCAGGTATGCTTCTCTCTTCCCCTTTTCTGATCTTTGTTTCTTTTGTTCTAATTTCACTGTTTTTGAATTTGTTTTTCAATTTGTAAGACTCTGTTTTTTTTTTTTTTTTTTACTTTTGTTGCTTTAGGAATCTTCTTTTTTTGAGGCTTCCTTTTCACCTCCTTCATCTTAATTTCGAATTTTATCTAGAAAACAAGTAATAGACAAGCTTATATGATTAAATGGAAGATGACCCAGATAAAAAGTTTGAGTTTTGACAGGTGGAATAAGTGGCAAAATTAGTTTAACTTTTAATCATAAATTTACTTTTAATGGAGTCTAATCCGATGTCTTTTTTGATGTATTAGTAGACTTGATAATCTTTTCTTGAGTTGGTATATCTGGAGTTCATGATGTCAATTGTTTGGACTTAAAACATTAATGTTTGTGCTATGATTGAATTTGCATTTTACATATGTATTTGCACCTTGTTCTTAAGGAAATGTTGGTGCAAACTCAAAGTTTCTAATTGTCATTAAGTGTTGCACATGGTGGTTGTGTCGATCAATATACTGAACAAGTTGGGCTTTGATTACAACGTGTGATCGACCACCTAGTTTAGTTATTTCTAGGCCTTAACTGAAATTGACTTCTGAATATCAAGCATGCGGGTTTTACGCTGTTCAAACTTGGAAGCTTCTGCAACTTCTTCTTTAGTATGCTCCTTTTAATTCATTAAAAAACATTAATTTGACTTTGTAGTGCAGATATGTAATTTTGATGGAAAAGTTTTATTATTGAAATATTTCATTGGAGATCAAACAATTGCATATAATTATGCATTTCATGGAATTGTGCAGGAGCAAGTTGAAACCTGTTCTGCACTGCAAGTTGTTTTTGTGGCCTCTATCTGTTTGACACTTCATAATCATTGAAGGATTTGGATGCTTTGGGAAATTAGGAAAGGGATTTTGACAGCGCAATTCAAATCTTAAAACCAATATTGTTAAAGAGAACCTTGAAGGATATGTGAGGTTTCCTTATTGCTTAGTTCTCCTGTATCTCTGAAATACTACTTCTGAAATGGGTTAGTTTAAATTGGCAAAGCCATAGTTGCCTTGTTAGTGCTTGAGTTGATTCCAGAAAAGGTGGATATGGCATCCAGCACCTGTGAAATTGTTGAATCCACTGATGAATTAGATGCTGGATCTAAAATGGATGAGCAAGGCAGAAAGCATTGGTTGCCGAAGTCAGGAAATAAGTATTCTATTGAGGATGATATTAATCGTCTTTTTGAGGCAATTGACATTAGGGCATCTTCTATGTCTCCCAGCCTGTCTCATGACGCTTTAAGGAAGAGCGCTATGAAAAGACCAGTCAGAGTTAGTACATCTCAAGCTTCAAGGATTGGAATTTCAGAGCCAGTGAACTTGAAGCAGGCATTTAGAGGATTGTGCATCTCTCAAGCATCAGAAATGGCTGCTATGAAGAAGCGGTTGTCAAAGCCAGCAAGCTCATCTAGGGTCTCAGAATCAGGTTCTATGAAAAGATTATACAGAGCTGTGGTAGTTGAGGCCAGTGGATCCAACCTTACGCCAAATGAGGGTAAAGGGAATTTGGTAGAAATCTCCCTTGTTCCAGAAAAGATCTCATCAAATTCTTCTGAGAAGATGCCTGAACCTCTGAATGTGCTGGAGGAAGAGTTTTCAAACCAAAATGGTCATCCATCTAATTGTTTAGATAATGCAACAACGAAAAAGGCAATGAAGACCAAATTACCATCACCGGATCAAATTGCTCCTCTTCCAACAGAATCTAGGAATGAAATATTGGTGGCAGAGCATAAAAATACAAAATCTGATACTACTGGCAAAGTCCTGGAGATAGGTCCTTCCTCGCTTGAGACTTGTATCAAAACTTCTGTACCGGACAAGGAGCAAATGAGCAAGTTGCATGCTGGATCTTCTCCATCTGCTTCCAGTGCTTGTGGTAAGATGAAATCTGCTAGTGATGGTCCATGTCTAAGCAAACCAGTGTTTAGGAGCAAGAGCTTTATCTGGAAGAAAGTGAAGCAGGAGCCAGCTTTTGCTGCCAGCAGTTCCAATCTTTGTACTGGGAATGTTAGCCCCACACAGAGCATTCCTCTTGGGAACCGAAGGAAAGAAAATACTGAAGCTTCTCCAGTATCCAGCAGCTCCAGTCACAGCATTGAAGTCAGTTCAGGCATTGTTGAGACAAGTTCTAAACCGCCTTCCTGTTCAAAGTGCAGTAACAAAACCAAAGCCATAGTGACCAAAGCTGATGAAAGATCAAGAGACAAGGGAGAGTTTTCCCAGAGCTCAAAGAGTAGCATTGGGGACTATAGTAGCAGCACAAGCACCAGTGAGGAAAGCAATCTGAGTACATCTAGTCGCTGTGGCAGTAGGCCTCATATGTCAAAAGATTTGAGGTGGAAAGCTATTCTCTCTGTTCAGAAGCAGCATGGAAACTTGGGTTTGGGGCACTTCAAGCTTCTGAAGAAGATTGGATCCGGGGACATTGGAACTATTTATCTCGCTGAACTGACTGGTACAAGCTGCCCATTTGCTATGAAGGTTATGGACAATGAGTTTTTGGTGAGCAGGAAGAAGATGGCGAGAGCCCAAACAGAAAAGGAGATAATGGAAATGCTAGATCATCCTTTCCTCCCTACCCTATATGCTCATTTTGCTACAGATAAATTTTCATGCTTGGTTATGGAGTATTGTCCAGGTGGAGATTTGCATGTATTACGGCAGAAGCAACCTGGCAGGAGTTTTTCTGAACAAGCAACAAGGTATGGATGTCATGTTCAGCTATTCTGTAAGCTTTGTTATGTAACCTTGCCAAGACCTTTGGCAATTTTTATTTATTTATTTATTTGATCTAAAGTAGGTCTTTTAATCTGCTTATTCACTAATTTGGTGAATTGCTAGTTGGTTGGTATGAGAATAACAACTAGCTTTAGTTGTGGAAGAAAGACATCGTAGTGATGCTAGAAATAGGTGAAACTTTTCAGCATCTATATAACTAATTAACATTCCTAAGAAAAAAAAAATCCCAACATGCTCTCTTCTTCTACAATTTCATATCTTTCCTGGTCGTCAGATATACTTTGGTCTAATTCAGGCTAATCTATTGGCAGGTTTTATGCTGCTGAAGTTCTCCTAGCATTGGAGTACCTACACATGCTAGGTGTCGTATACCGAGATTTAAAACCAGAAAACATCTTGGTCCGTGAAGATGGTCATATCATGCTCACAGATTTTGACCTATCACTCAGATGTGCTGCTAATTCAGTACTGCTTAAATCATCTTCACCTGTTGCTGATCCTAAAGAGAAGATGTCAAGTCCATGCTCAGAATCTAGCTGCATTGAACCTTTCTGTCTCAATCCATCCTTTCAAGTCCCGTGCTTCACTCCTAGGCTTCTGTCACTTGCTTCAAAATCACGGAAGATAAAGTCTGACTTAGGAGCTCAGGTTAACCCTATGCCACAGCTTGTAGTGGAGCCAACAAGTGCGCGATCAAACTCATTTGTTGGAACACATGAATACCTAGCTCCTGAGATTATCAAGGCTGACGGACATGGGAATGCTGTTGATTGGTGGACGTTTGGTATCTTTCTGTTTGAGCTATTATACGGAAAGACACCTTTCAAGGGTTCAACAAATGATGAAACATTAGCCAATGTGGTGTCACACAGCCTTCGGTTCCCCAGTAGTCCTATTGTCAGTTTCCATGCAAGAGATTTGATCAGAGGGCTTTTAGTAAAGGATCCAGAGAATCGATTAGGATCAGTGAAAGGAGCTGCAGAAATCAAACAGCACCCTTTCTTCGAAGGCCTAAACTGGGCTCTTATACGTTGTGCAACACCACCAGAGATGCCAAAGTTTTTTGATGCTGGAATTGCTGCACCAGTTACAGCTTTACAAACAAAAGACAGCTCCAAGCATGAGGAATCTCAGGGCACAGAAGAGCATACAGAGTTTGATATGTTTTAGCCAGAGCTTATCTGATATGGGTGAGGATCATGTTTGAGTTTCTACTTAACAGTGAGTTTTTTCATTTCTTTTTTTTCTTTTTTTTCTTTCTCTGATCCTATTTTAACTGATATACAGCGTATAGTTCATAAATGTAATTCCAGAAATGTCACAAGTTGCTAGCAGTATGATATAAATATACAGTAGAAAAATAGTTCGAGTCTTGAAAATGTTGAGTAGCAACGTTACAAAAGCATTCAAGCCAAACACTTTCACCCTTCCACTGAAATAACAGTGAAAGGCTGCTTGAAAGTAGAAAAGACCAAAATTTTGAGTTTCCACGATGATGGCAAGCTCCCCTCGAACATGGTATAATCATTGTAGTTCTGTAGTTTTTACCCATTCTCAACAACTGGTAGTTTAAACGTCCAATGCAGTTTAAACTGGGGCAATTTAACAGGAATTATATGGCCAAAAGGAGTGTCTGAACTCTAGAACTTCAAATTGGATGTTTTAACTTTTTAAGCTTGAATCTGAATTAATTTAACAAATTATTTATTAACTTTTATATTCTTTTTGAATTATTCCCATCTTATTTATTATTTTTTACATTTATTTCAATTTCATCTGGTATATTATTTTTAACGAAATTTTTTTATTCAATAAAAAAATATTTAATCTTCTAACTATATTTCTTTTGATCTTTTAGTCTTTAAATTTGTATTCATTGTAAAAATAGTTTTTATTTTTATCTTACTAAATGTGTTAGTAAGAAAACTGTTTTACAAGATAGATTGTATTTAGTTTGTCTTATAAAATTATTTAAATACCCTTAATTTTATTTTTATATTATTTTTTCAAAAACATTTAAATAATTTTACAAAATGGATTATATATAGTTTACCTTGTAAAACAGATTTATTCTTAAAACTTGTCATTCCAAACTTACTAAGTTTTTCTATTTGAATTGAGTTAGTTACTCAAGTTTACTTCAAAATCTAACTAATTTATATTTATAAAGTATTTTTTAGGTCATCATATTTTATTAAGATTATAATGTCATTTTTTCAAAACTTAAAAGATTACTCTTTTTTTTTGTTAAATCTAATAGAAATTTTGTCTGATAAATTATTTTAAAATATAAACAATTTTCAACAATAAAAATTCATTGTAAATTACAAATCTCATAATATCCATACAATAAATATACATCATTTGAGTTATTGCACATGCCACGACAATCGGGCGATTAGGAGAATAGATATAGTTGGCTCTCATTATTATGTAATCTAAAATATTATATATATATATATAAACATCATTTTTTTTTTTGTGGAATATATAAACATCATTTGAATATACATCATGTGTTGGTTATGTAAGATTTTATTATTAATAAATATTAGTATTAATAAATTATTTTCTGTTACAAATTAATGACCTCGTATTAAAGTGTTATTTTGTGTTACTTTAAAAGATTGCTATAGTTGTTCTTGTTGTGCTTATTATTATGATTTTTTATATATCAAATAATAAGTTATATAATAAAAAAAATAAAATTTTGTAATTTTTTTTATTTATTTTAAAATTTAAATTCAAAATCTTTAACTTAAAACCTAAAACTTTTAATTTTAACCACTAAGCCCTTAGGTGATTCCCGTTGCAATTAGCCAGACCGTTTCTTCTAAGCCAACCCATCTCCGAAACCCGATCCAGTATGCCTTCACAGATATCATCGTATCTTCATTTACCATTTTTCAATTTTTTCCTTTCCTTCCATCGTCGTCCAACTGCTCTTCCTTTCAGGCCCAACCATATCTTCCCATTGTCATCCGGAATCACAATCTCTCTCCTGCTTTTGGGTCTCGCGCAAGAGCTTCCGTGGCCTCTTCGACACCGTCCACTGCCACTGACACGGAGACTAAACCCTTCTCCGTGCTGTTCGTTTGCTTGGGCAACATCTGCAGGAGCCCAGCTGCAGAGGGTGTCTTGAGAGATATTGTCAAGAAGAGAGCCCTTGACTCAAACTTCAAAAT